TTTTCTGTAGGGTCGCCTTATTACAAAATAATGAATTTATTCCATTCATTTGCACCATACTGTATAAGAAATTAATTATTTTTATCTGATACTACAAAATTCATTTTACTAGGGTACAGGGAGAGTAAATGTTCACTTAATGTTTTTTTTTTGAATATAATCCCGGTATAAAATTTTCCTACCAAATCCCCTACGTACATGAATTAATTGAGGGAAATTTGTCTCGTGCATGAATTTTCTGTGAATGTGAGCATTTCCGAACTTTGTGCCCTTTTGAGACATTTGATCAGGCATTAACTATAACATACTGAAATTATAGCCTATTTGACCAGAAACCAATTTCCATAAGTTTAGTGCGGGGTCCTTTGCTCACGTAATATTATTAAGTTAAATCCATTTTGATTTAATCGCTCACAGTTTTTTACAAATGCATTTGCTTAAGTTGGTAGAAATATATTTTCTTACAATTAGGAAATTATAGAATGAATTCTACCTAATCTGAAGTTACATGTAAATGTCCTTTTACCTGAAAACGTCAACAAATTTCCAGTGTATTTGCATGATCCTTCCCTCAAGGAGAACAAACTTAATTTATTTAGTTGCTATAGTAACCTCGATGGTAACCATACAAAATATAGGCTTCTAATTGGTCGAGAATTTTAGTTGTGAAATGTATCATAAATAGTTATTTATTATACAAGGGAAAAAAGTTGTAGATTTTAGCTCCAGGTTGTGTTGTCTCCCGACGCGTAGCGGAGGGAGACAAAAAACCGTGAGCTAAAATCTAATATTATTCCCGTGTATAATACACTATTTTTTTCTGTGACAGAAGGAAGGACGAATCAATATTGAGAAGATATTACATTATTTCGAAATCTGAAAATTATCGACGTGAAATTTCAAGTTTTTAACAGTAGGGACACCTGCGTTTTATAGGCATCTTCATCATTCTTTTGAAGTAATCAAATATCTGATGTCACTTCTGTCAGTTCAATTCTGTGATTTGATTTTAAAAAATTGCGAATTCAGTAGTTGTTTAGTAATATACGAAACTGCGAAGTCGAATGGAAGATAAAAGGACTTGCAGTTCTTTCTCGGAGACGGTATTATTGACTCATTTTATCGGAACTATAGCACAATAAAAGCCATTAACAGAGTATATATATGTGATATATATCCGGGAAAAAAGTACTCACTTTTTTCCCACGGGAAAAAAGTAATTTATGAAAAGTGACATTTTATAACCTGCCAACAGAGATGAAATGCCAAACCTTTTTTTCCGTCACAGAAAAAAATATATTGTCAATCTAACGAATATGCACTTATGATGACTGTATATAGAGTCGAAATCGCTCTGCTACGAAAATTTGAATACATTATTTTGCACGAAATACAACATCATGTACAATTATTTGTATATCTATACAGGTGCACACGCAGCTAAGTAATCCTGCGAAGTATAATTATCCAGTGGGTTGTATGTGGTTGTATCCACCAAAATAAGTTGAACCATCGTAAATTTCCGCAATAATAATCATGAACACTTTTGTATTCAGAATTTTATGTAAATCAGCCTGTATATATTCTTACTGATTACTTGTGGACGGAAAATCTATCTTTCAACATTCTTATATATATATTGGACCTTTCTTTTATTTTATTCAGACCAGGGAAGAGTCCCTCTTATCCTGATATCTATTATGGAACAAAATAAAAACGGTATTGAAGTTTGATGCGAACAGCCCTTCTGCCCCAAATAAGTTTCAGAAATACATTCTGAGAATTGAAAGAGATCGAACGGAATAAATAAATATCATAAACTTGAGAATAGTAAATTTGGTCATAATGTCGATATTTTCCCTAGTTTATGGACAATCTCGGTCTTTTGAACTTTGATTGATCACCTGGGTCATAATCAACTGCATTTCGAAGAAGCTGATTCTCATAAACCTCAGCTTTTTCGAAAGTCTTGATGTTTCGTTCTTTAATGACTGACACGATTGATGGGAGTTTCAGATCCCTGGCGATCTGGTTATTCCGAACATACCAAGGAGATCCTGTCACCATTCTCGCGATTTTGTTTTGTAATGTTTGTAATCTGGTGATATGAGATTTAGCTGTGTGGCCCCAGACTACTGAGGCATACAGTAAAATTGGCCTGATAGCCATGATATAAATATTCAATTTTTGTCTCAAACCCAATTTACTTCGTCTGTTTAGAAATGGATACAAGGCTCCAATGGCTCGTTTAGCTTTAGAAACTTGCTGTTCAATGTGCTGGGCCCAGGTGAGCTTTTTGTCAATGCACACACCTAAGTATTTAACTTGTGAAGACCACTCTAACTCATGACCATCCAGGACGATTCTGGTTCTGGGAGGCCTCCGCTCCCTTCCGAGTGCGACCAATTGTGTTTTTGTAGGATTTAATTTGATCTTCCATCTTAGGAAGTACTCCTGAAGAGAAAATTTGAATACATTATTTTGCACGAAATACAACATCATGTACAATTATTTGTATATCTATACAGGTGCACACGCAGCTAAGTAATCCTGCGAAGTATAATTATCCAGTGGGTTGTATCCACCAAAATAAGTTGAATCATCGTAAATTTCCGCAATAATAATCATGAACACTTTTGTATTCGGAATTTTATGTAAATCAGCCTGTATATATTCTTACTGATTACTTGTGGACGGAAAATCTATCTTTCAACATTCTTATAGTTTGAAACTTCATTCTGACAATAATCAGTCTATCACTTTTGTTGCAAATCCAATAGGCACAGCTTTCATTTGTACAGTGTGATCCACTTGAGACCATACAGAGCACCCATATGAAATGTACAATTACAACCGATTCGAAGATTTTTTTCTGCAGAAGTCTACTCTGAGACATCATGTTTGCCAAAAGTAATTTGAATGTTCAGGGCATGTTCTTATTATTTTACACGCATTAAAACGACTGAATGTAGGTCGTTTTTTTTTTCTTTCGATAATCTCGAAATATCGTGGGAGAATTTTCATTAGCATGAAAAAGATATAACTAGGGTGCCTGCGATCTAATATTTTTCACATTGTACTAAGTACAGTCAGGTGCAAAGAAAATGTCGCGGATGGATGGTGTTGCTCTTATTGCAGTATTGACTAGAAGTGCTGTCACCGCCCATGTGCGACATGTTCATTGCATCTGACTATACATGGCCAAGCACATAAATAATTATTGAACGCGCAATGAAAATGGAGAAGAATTCAGCTTGATCTAAAATTAAATAACATGAAATATGTTCCCCTCCAAATTTCGTCAATGTCTATATACAAAATTATTCACACCATATACATTATTCACACTACATCAATCACCTTAAAATTAACAGATTCAGAGCGTTGTAAACACCAATTCAACATTTGAATGATCTCTAGAATTAGGAAAAAACATCATGAATCCAGAGAAAAGTTCGAATACACTTACCGATCGATGTTTTTTAAAGTTTACTCTGATGAAAAATGAATGATCAATACTTCCGAATATTATATATATCTACTTATGATACAGGTAGAAGAGACTGGTATAGTCTCGGGTATAGTCTATCCAAAGTCAGTTGGAACGCCACGTGCACGGACATCAAAGGAACTTCACGAGAGTCGACACCGCTCGGTGTACGTTTTTTTGCGGGTGCTGATCCAATTCACTTTGAAAGAACTATACTTGATTCCCTTTTTTTTCCTCCCTCTAATATGACTGATGTTATGTGGTTGGGAAATTTACAAGGCGGCATTGGAATAAATGCACATATTTCAAATTCTGATGAAGCTCGACGTATACTATCGATTAGCAACAATGAAAAAATATAGGGATCATAATAAAATTTGGGGTTAGACCCCTTTTTCCACCCAAAGTTCTACACTCAAGCAATTCAGAAGGAACAATCACGCGGAGTTTGTTCTCGTTTTTTGTTCAATTTTTGGAATGAAATTCAGGAAAAATCTGATATCATGGCAATATTCGTTAGACTGTATTATGTCGATGTGCTGAATATGTGTAGAGGTTTCAAAAACACCTCGTATATATTCAATTAGAGAAATAGAGCATAACATTATTATCTCCATTCTGAATTCACAAGTAATTCAATTTCAACTCCATCAGGATATCAGGAGGGGTGAAAAGACTTACAGTCACAACTCCACCACATAAACAATTTAATAATGAACAACAGTCATGGACATAAGGACATGTTTCGAAGGATTAATCCTTCATCATCAGCAAATTTATAAAAAGAAAAACATCTGGAGGAAGAAACAACGCTTATGTTAATTTTTGAGTATTGTTAAAAAATCTAAATATACCTACCATTATTGGTAAATAATTATTTATCGATCACCTAGAATGATTATTTCAATACTCCAATAATGCAGTTCTTTCCATCTATCACGTACTGTATGATGGTATTTGATAGTTCATATACGTGATAATAGTTACTTTATGTATCGAGGGCGTAAAGTAGGCTTTTATGGACAGCAGCGTGTAAGTAACACGTCTAGGTCCATGAAAGCAAGTTACGCCCGAAATACATATAACATTTCATACACGATCGGTATATTTGATTTCTCATTATGAATACCTCTTGCTGCAGTGAGGAATATCATTGATGGAATCGACGTTACCATGGTAACTCAGTAAATTTTTTGAAAGAAAGTAGACTTATTCTGGGTTCGATCCGAGGATCGATCGATCATATATCATTTTGCATCTCAGTAACATCGAGAGAACTGTAATATTAGATAAGGAACTATCACAACTGAAACATAATGTCCTATTACGAGTTATTCATACGCCGGTTGGTAAAGTAGTCCGCGGGCAGTAAAGTGCCACTTTACGCTCGCAAAACCGGGCGCTAAAGTGCTACTTTACGCCCGGTCGTGCATAAAACTATATATCGAACGGTGAGTAATCCGGCATCAACTTGCAACAAAGAGCAACACACATACACATAAAAACTCACCCTGGCCGCTATCGAAGTCGTCGGCTTCTCCAGCATGTCCCACAGCCACTTCTGGTACTGCGAGCACTTGTCCTCCCCGAACTCCTCCTCGTCCCGCTGCCGCAGCGATTCCGCCTCCTTGCGCATCTCCTCGTGCACGTGCTCCTTGCGCTGGTGGTACTTGTGCTGGCAGCACGACTCCAGGTACAGCTCGTCCACGCCCCAGTACTCCAGGTCGTCGCTGAACGCCAGCACGCACATCTCGTCCACCAGGTGCAGCTTGCCGGTGCGGTAGAAGTTGAGGATGGAGCTGAAGGACTTGGGGTGGCGGTCGAAGAAGTACTCGTTGTCTATGAGGGAGTAGTCGTCGCAGAGCTCGCTCAGGGCTTCGTGGGTGTTGCAGTCTCTCAGACGACCCAACCTGAAAGCAATGAAGTGATTGAAGGCAACGAGAAGGCTGGTTACATTACCCTTTGAACAGGACGTCAATCTTCGGAATGAGCAAAAACAACCTAATTGCAGATTTTGGATAACATTATAGAAGACACAGGAGAAGTCATCCTACAGAAGAACAACTTCAGGTCAAAGGGTTTATCGAACATGCACCACAAATTGCTAAAGAGATAAACAACCTCAGCAAACCAAAGTTTGAGTTTATTACTCAACAATGTCTTACACCTGAAGAGAATTGGCCCAATAGGAGTTAGGCCAAGTCGCTTCTGCAACCTCTGAACATCGGAGCTGATTGGGACTAAGCTCTCCATCATATACGAAGTGTTGTGTTCTCAGAGGCTGCTCCACAAAGTTTCGCTCTGAAAACACACTTGCAGTCGTGTTCGAATAGAAATTGGAGATACCACAACAATTCTGGTGAAGAGCAAAGATTGAAAATCGTCCAGCTGACTGTGGAAGAAATACCATGCATATATAAATCGTCTTCAATTGCTCTGAGCAGAAGAATATGTGGCACCTTAGATCTGATTAGATCACAACCTATTCGTCACCAGAAGGTCCTCTTGGCCCGAAACAGAAAACCAATTTTTGGGAATGCACTTTTAGCAATTGATCTCACGTGTTTTTCCCAAGAAAGGTTATTGCTGATAGTGTTACCAAGAATCCAGATGAATGTTTCTCGACGCGTTTGTTACTCTGGGACAGTATACCGCATACCAGTGTTTGTCTACTAGTTTATATTATATAGTTTCGTAGGTATAGGTGTTCATTGTGTATAATCTAAAATATATATATGCATATATAAAATAATGGTGTTAAAACATTTCTTTGAGCTGCAGTTGACAGCCTTGAAGTATGTAACTCACCTGGTGTGCGGCAGTCGATCCAAGGTCCTCCACAGCACCTCGTGCTTCACCCCTCCGACGTTGATGACCACTCGCCTGTTGAGGGTCTTGGAGCGCATGATCATGAACGGCTCGGGGGGCAGCGAGGACATCGACCTTGAGTACGGCCTCTGGAGGTGGAGGGGCAGCGGAGGCGGAGCAGGCGGCAGTTGCGGGGGAGACATTTGGGGAATGGAGGAGTACCTTCCCTGATCCCTAAAATAAAAATCGTTGGTGGTCGGAGTTAACGCGACATGGAACACCGTAGAAAGGTCGGCGACCTTTCACTTTCACGGGAAATGTTCTTCGGAAATCTCTGCTATCATCCCTTCACTAGCAATACCAGTCAGACGAACTAGACAAGCCCAGTAAGCACATCCTTTCGTTGTCATCCATGGAACGGCTAGGCTCTGGAATTCATTGCCTGAGGAAGTATTCCCAACAACATATTATAATCTCCAGAAGTTCAAAAAAATTCCAATACCTACCTCCTGTCCCTATCCTCCTTAGGAACGCACGATGTTCTTTTAACATCATAGGGATTTCCTTTCGTCCGCTCCAAGCGATAAAAAAAAATTTGGTATGAGTTGGTGGTATAAGGGGATCTCGGGAAAGATGATGCTTATTTATTTATTTATTGAACAGATAACTTCCACACAGAATAGGCTCTGGGAGAAGGAAGGACATAATTATATACCTATAGGTAAACATATCATCTTTCAAGATATATCAACAACTGTGAATTGACAAACAAAGAATAATATTTGTTTAAAAAAAAAAGCATGATTAATTTTATCTAGTTCGCTCAGAAATAATCAGTTTTTTCTCTTCATTTTTGAATGTACCTATATATTTCTGCAATTTTTTATATTGTCAGGTAGTTTATTGAATTGAATCTTTTTTGTCTGATTATGGAACAAGCGGCGTCAACATGAAACAAGTTATATTGTCTACTTTCATGATTATGAATTTCAGAATTCCGTATCAAAATAATATTCGACTTCAATTTTTTATTTGTGATATTACAAGATATTTTAAGAGTTTCAATTCTATATATTTCATCTAAAGAATACGTATTTGTTATTTCATACAATTGATTGGTTGGTGTATCAAATGGGAGACGATACAATACTTTTAACGATTTTCTATATAATGTTGATACTTTATTGGAATTATTTTTTGAACAATATCCCCAAACATTCATCAAATAGTTGATACGACTCAGTATATGAGAGTAGAGGATCATGTTTGCAATTTTGATATCAAGTTTGGGACATCTTCTCAATGCACCAATAATTGGAGATTTTTTTTTCTTGTCAGAACATCAATATGTTTGGCCCACTTCAACCTGTCATCAAACCAAATACCAAGCTATTTTATCTGGTCAGTTTGTTTTAAGAGTTCATTTTTTATTTTAAGGTTGAGGTAATTTTTTTGTTTATTTTTTTGGTGAAAAATCATATATTCTGTTTTGTTAGTATTTATCGATAAAAGGTTATAGTGGAGCCATTTTCAAATATTTCCAAGTCTTCATTTATCATATTTTCTAAATTTGAAGGATTCTTGCCTTCATATAAAAGTACTGTATCATCTGCATACATGGTATATGTACTCGCTAGACCAATTCCACTGATATTTTGAACATAAAGTAAATATAGTATAGGTTTTTGTGTGTGCTTTTTTCTTATTTCTTCTGAAAAATGCACCAATGTGGAAAAACCTACGAGGAAGTTAGTGGATTGTGGATGAAGTACCAATAAGTCGGTGATGGTCTTGAAGATTTCGAGGATCTACTAGAATCGGGAAGGTTTGTCGAATCTAACGATGAAGAAATGCCACCGAAGAGACAAAAAGTAATGGATAAGTGATTAGGGTTCAAGATGAGATTTATAAATAAGAAGATTAATGCATTTAAAGATATTATTATGAATAATAATAATCAGTATGAGGTATCTAAATTCAATAGTACGATTTACATTTCTATTCATATATTAGGAGATTTTCTATGACATAAATGTGATTAGAATTTAATAAATCAACTTTTTGACTGAAAAAAATTGCAGCAATCACATTTTTTATTGAAATACACCCTTTCAATCCTATCTTTAATATTTAGAACAACTATTTTCGCATGTTCCTTGCAATCTTTATGTAGCGGAGGCAAGGCTGGCGGCAGTTGCGGGGGAGACATTTGGGGGATGGAGGAGTACCTTCCCTGATCCCTGAAAAAAAATCGTTGGTGGTCGAAGTCAACGTGACATGTGGGACAAGTTGTTGGTATGAGGGGTTCTCGGGGAAGATGATGCATGTGTGTGTTTTTTTATTTCTTGGAGTGCACGAAAGGAAAATCCTATGATGTTTGAAGAACATCGTGCGTACTCTAGGGGGAATAGGGAGAAGAGGTAGGTGCTGGATTTTTTTTAACTCTTGGAGGTTATAAGTTCTTGAGAATACTTCCATAGGCAAAGTTTTGCCGTTCTATAGACGAACAAATTTTGGTAGAATGTTGTTGGACATATTCCAAGGTTGACAACAAGAGGATGTGCATGTGCAATAACTTATATGGATTAATTAAATTAAGATATTGTCACTAGTAGAACATACGGTATATCAGTAATTTCAAACCATGAGGGTTTTATAAACATAATGTTAATCGAATCATCCGTTGACATTGAACTATGAAAACTGACCAAGGAACTCTCATGAGAAACGTGCAAGTCTAATAAAATGATGTATATGAATATTGGATGTGAGGGTTTCGAAGTAAGTCTGGTCTGGGGCTACTCTTGACTTGACAAGAACTCGTCGTAATGGTCATTATAATGTAAGTTGTTATTAAGTCTTTATATTCATTGTTGTTTATTCATATTTGTCATCGCTACCCATGATGTTTCATGCTTCAATACATATTGTTATCGAGTTATCGTTGAATATAGTCTCGTACTTTCAGCTACCCCTAAACTATTAGTGCCCATTTGAATATTACCTCTCGCAAACTATTTTCTATTTTATCTTCAAGAATACCCTACATCAAATTTTACAATGGTCTGGAGAATCAAATAGTGTCAGGAAAAGCTCAAGTTTTTATGAACCATCTTCTAGTCGAATTTCAGTGGAAGGCTATAAAAATTCAAGCGACTAAACACCACGACTTGTTGGCAGTGTTGCATGGGGGTCATTTCAAACAGAACATGGAAAAATGAGCAAGTCCATGCACGAGTCCATGCATCATAGATATCGAAAGAGATAAGAGATGAATTAATATGCAGATCCTGTTTTGAGGAGATTGAAGCAGCCTTGCATACATCATTTTTGAAAGTGAAGGAGGAGAAGAAACTGTGGTAGGAGACCTAGAAGAATACAATTATTCCAAATGGCATCAAATGACAAATGAGCATTCTTGATAATTGTATCAGATTAAATTTCATAACGAACCAAACAAACTATCGAAAGTAATCTGGAATACAAAAATGTTGGTATTGAAAGGTATAATTGAGAAATGTACAAGAATATGGCGTACTGAGAAATGTTCTATCGATTTAGTTATACAAAAGTAGTTGAAATATGCACCACCATGTATGTCGATAAAAATGTTATGGTATGCTTTTAGAGCATACTAATAATTTTACTGTACCTACAAAATCTCAGAGCTATATGTATAGGTACCAAGAATATTGAAATTTTTCTCAGAAAAATTCAAACTTTATCAACTTCTATCGATTCCTGGGGTATTAGTCATCAAAACTGGATCACCCTGTATAGCTAACTGATAATTCATTATCTACTATGGGGGATGGCTAACTGAAATCGAGTTTAGGTACAAAAGCCTACCATACCTCACATTATCAGCGTATTAATACATTGAGATAAATATATCTTCAAATAGGTATACGTTGTAAAATCATGTTGATTATTTTCTTCGTATAGGATTTCCGATTTGGAACCAATCAGGACGTTCAATTGAGTTGAGCTAACTTGTATAATTTCGAATATATGTGAATATACATAGAGTAACTCCACCAATCATACAACATACAAACAAAGCGCGTAAAATTTCGAATACAATTCGAACTTCATAATATCAAGGTAATAGATCTCAAACTTCCTGCACAATAATGTCAGTTTAACAAAATATTTCAACTGTTAAACGGGCACTCTATGTAATTATGCAACAAAAGTTATCGATGTATAACCCCAATATTTTGAAGTGTTCATTACTACTGAATGTATGTGTCTTATATGGAATGAATACAGCAAAAAGAAGTTAAATTTTATCATGATGACTCATATTATGGATCATAACATACTGTTTACAACCATTTCCTTGTCTTCTTGATGTCTGATATTGATAACGAACCGATTTACCAAATTTCCTTCAGTTCAACGGGAATTTTGTATTTGTAAATAATGTAAATATGAATCAGTTGACCACTACCTCTAATTTCGAAAACTGATACCGCCAGTTTCTTAAAATTCTTCACATTGAATACTCACATTTTTTCACTAACGTATCTCTTGAATGATGATTGAAAGTGACTTATCGATTCTTGGATAAATATGATATAGTTTTATTGCATTATTATCTTAAATCACACAAATAGAAATTGATATTTCGATAACCTCATAACGATTATAAAATTTATTTGTTTTGGGAAAATCGGAATTTTGAAATGGAAACAGTTAATTATAATAATAGTTATCGAAACTGAGAGACTTGAAAATAAGTAATATAGACCAAGGTTATTCTATTTGTGATGGAGTGATGAGTTGATAGAACTCGATATAGGGACACTGCCACGAAGGAATTGTTCATCGTGGTGTCCACAAAAGATTTCAATTCTTCTTCACTGGACTAAGTGACCCATAATCCGTGAGTGGAGGTGTGTGAAGTTTGAGGAGTAGCGAGTTACATCATTAGTGAGAAAATGAACCTTTATCCACGTATACGCCATCTATCATCGAATATAAGAACCCCATGCGCTTCTACGTAAAAAAATATGTTGGAGACAGTTTTTTATTTTTCTATAAGTTGAAAGATTGCTGAGAAACAGGGTTAGTCCCAAATGCATTATCTTTAATTTTGCTCTGTATTTCAAGAACGAGGGGGTCATCATGTGGAAAGTTTGGTAAACAGAGCATCCCGTTTCGGTTGAGACAGCCAGGTTGTTGTTGAAGATAGAACCTTGCGGTTTTCGCGGTCTTGTGCCACTTTTTCGTGAAACTCAACATGGCCTGGACAGACCTTGCCTAACTTATTTCGTTCATAAGTGACAGGGCTTTTTTGAAAATTTACACTTTTTGGACCCCCTCCATATCTACGAAGTTTCTCAGCGATTATATCAAATTGGAATCTCATCCCATAAAAAATTTCACGCAGAATCCAGTGGCGTACTAAATTTTTTTTTCGGGGTATGGTTTTGGAGATACGACTTCTTATGATTTTTTCAATGGAACATTATTATTATTTTTTCCTAAAAGATCTCAGCACATATTACTGAGGTCAAAATTAGCTGATTTATAGCAATTTACCTCCGTCCAAAATTGCTCCGTATGAATTAACAATTTTTTCCGTCGACCTCGGATTTAACGACTAAGTTTAATGTATATGAAATCTTTCATTAATGACCCCTATTAATGAACGATTTGTCTATTAATGCACGATTGTTTTATAGGCAACCAAACATACACCGCGTGCATTCATTGTTTATGCTATAACTTACGGAATCTGCATTTAAATCGAAAATATGGATTTCATCGACGATTTTCCGTTAACGGGTTAGCCTTTCCAAGTTTCTGACACGATTGTAATCCCTGTTCTTCAACACAAGGAATTTATTTCCTATGTTGATCATTTCGACAAATGTGAAATGTCACTAATGTCAGTAACAAGGCTACTGGGTGATTCTTAGCAGTTTCCAGATGTATGATGAATTCGCTAACCAAGTTTTCTTCATTGCAGGAGAAATGAGAAATATAGTCGACGGAAAAATTTTGTAACCAACTTGTATATTAAAAGGCGATTAATGATCTCGAACATTAACGCGCTCGCTTCGCTCGCACGTTAAAATATCTCGATCATTAATCGCCCTCATTAATACACTAGTTGGTTGAATAACTATTAAAATTGCACCAAAATCAATAGTGTGCTATGCATTTTTGACATAAGAAAAGGTCCAATTGAATGAATATCATTTTGAGTTTTTCATGAACACGGGAAAAATAATACTGAGGTAGATAGTAAGGTAGTAAGGTAAGGTAGTGAGTTTGATGAGGTTTGAGAAAGTTCATGGTAGTTCGAGGAGGTTCATGAAGTCAGAGGAGTTCGAGGAAGTCGCTGAAAGTTTAGGCAGTTAGAAGTTCGAGAGTGTTTGAGTCACTTTGAGAAAGTTTGAGGTAGTTCAGGGTACAGTGACTCTATATAAGACAGTGGCGATAGTAATAGTTGTCAACGATTTGATTCGTTGTCGCTGCAGACGCCATTAGGATGCAAATTTTCTGTGTGTTCACATTGGGTTTATCTGTTTGCTGCGTTGATCCAGTAATTGATCCTTCCAGTTCACTCTCGATTTTCAAAATGTTTGCATCTTCTTCATCAAATTATACGTATAATATCCACTAGTAGTGCTTTCTCCAAAAAATACAATAGCATTGCTTCTTGTTCAGTTGATATAGACAGAACATGGTATTCACTACTAAAATCTGAACATGAAAATGGTAAATTCAAGATTAATTAATGAAAACATCCTGTAACTCATTTGATTGCCAACGTCACCAATTGTCATTGAAAACTGAAAAGCTTGAAGACATATTATACGACTTCGCAATTGAAATAATCTCTTCATGTTGAAAACGGGAGCAGAACCGGTCCCGAAACGTCCAAAGACGAGTCCAAAGATAAGTGAAAATTTGAAATATTTTTTTTATATACCTTTATTTCTCTTCTCCAAAAATTTTTTCAACACAAATTGTCACTGACAAGCTAGTGAATTTTTCTTTTAGGCTCTCTGATAGGAAAATTCTTTGAACGCAGTGACATTTTGGGGCAAATCATCTGATTTGTCCTTACTACACGTATATTGAAATAACATTCATATTTTTATTTTATAGAAACGAGGAGAGAAAATCCCAAAAAATTTGGAATAATGAATGAAATATATCTGTTGAGCAACTACTAGAAGATATTCAAAAATAAGAATGATCCGATGATAAATTGAGAGTGAAAATGTAAATTAACACCAACTGAAGAGGCAAGTAATTCAAATTTTCGCGCACTAATTTGCCTCCTAATGGCAGATGGGCGGAGCTTATACGCCGCCACTGTCTTGTATAGAGTCACTGTAGTTCGGGGAAGTCCGAGGAAGTTTGGGAAGATCAAGAAAGTTTGGGAAGTTTGAGTAAGTTTGAGGAAGTTCAGGAAGTTCGAGTAAGTTAGGGAAGTGCGAGTGAGTTTATGGAAGGTCGAAGAAGTTCAGGGAAGCTTAGGGAAGGTCGAGGAAGTTTGGGAATATCGAGGAAGTTAGGAAGATCAAAAAAGTTTGGGAAGCTTGAGTTAGTTTGAGGAAGTTCCGGAAGTTTGAGTGAGTTTGGGGAAGTTTGATGAAGTTTGGTGAATTTCGATGTAGTATGGAAAGTTCGAGGAAGTTTGGGAAATTTGGGGTAGTTTAGGGAAGTTCAAGGAGGTTTGAGGAAGTTCGAGGAAGTTAGAGCAAGTTCGACGCAGTTTGGGCAGTTTTTGATTTTTCTGAAAATTTGAACTTTGAACCAGCATCGAGTTAAGTCTAAGTAGTTTATACAGCAAATAAAACAAAATAAGGAATAAAAATAGGATAAAATAAGAAAGTTCAACATGGGCATTTCCATTGAACCGTTCATACAAGAAATAAGTTAAGAATAAGAATTAGAATGAAATAAAAGATGACCAACTTTTATCTTTTTATTTTATTTTATTCGGAAAATGATAATGCACATGACCCAAATGAATTCTGTCACAGAACATGAAACGTCATTGTTACCAATGCCGTGATTGGATTGGTTAATTTCTTGATCATAATTTCATTTTAGTCATCTGTATAAACAGTGGATTTTATTCCTTATTCCTTAAATTACCTTATCTTATTCCTTATTTTATTTTAATTGCTGTATAAACCCACCTTAAGTTTGAAGGCCAGTGGAAATAATTTCAAAAGTTATTTCTTTAAATCTCAGTGTACCACACGAAACGCGCTCAGTGCCAAAAAAGTTCGAGCTAGTGCGACGAGTGGAAAACGCTATCAGTTCATACAAAATACGAAAAAAAAATCACCTGTCGTCTACGGTGGTGTCGACGGAATGGGAATTGGCGGCGGCGGCGGCGAATCGGTCCCATCGGGCGGCCTGCTGCCCCCCGTCGCCGCCCTCCCGGTCGCCCATGGGCGGCGCAGGCCTGCCGCCTCCGACGGGGGTGGTCGCGCTAGCCGTGCCGCCGCAACGCCCTCACCCGCCGCCGCTATCTTGCCCCGCGACGCCGCTATCTTGCGCCGCGACGCCGCCTAATGGGGCGGCGAGTGGCGGGACGACGGTGGCGGCGGTGCTCTGGCGCCGGTCGCCCAGCAACCGGATCTGAAACAATCATCATCAATGACTCGATGATTTTCTTTTTATGTTCTGGTTCCCACGAAAAAGGATATCCTGTAATGTTCAGAGAACATCGTGAGAACCAAGGGAAATATGGTAGGAATGGGTGTTCTTCTTAAATTTGTGGAGGTTATATGCCTTGGCAATGTGTTCCAGAGCGTTGCTCTTCGTTGGATGAACGAGTCTTTGGAAAGAGATGTTCTGCAGGTCTCCAAAGTGACCACGTAGGGGTGCGAGGGACTGCAAAGGGTGGAACAATCGTTGATATTTTCAGAAGAGCATTTTCCATGAAAATATCTATAAAAAAGAGCCAGACCGCCAACTTTTCTACGGTGTTTCAGAGAAGTGAGTGAGTTTGTGAGCGAGGCATCATCCACGAGACGAATTGCCCTTTTTTGAACAGTTTCAGGGTATGTTTGGCTGCTGCACTCCAAATATGGAAACAGTATTCCAGGACAGGTCGGATCTATGCCTTATAGATCATAAGCAGCTGTCTGGAAGTAAAATAGCTCCTGACCCGAAACAGAAAACCAAGCTTTTGGGATGCACTTTTAGTAATTGATCTCACGTGATTTTTCCAAGGAAGGTTATTGCTGATAATAATAACAAGCATCGAAATGGATGTCTTCAAAGGTATGGTTACTCCTGACAAGCTTATGTTGGGCACAGTGAGATCGACTTTTCTAGAGAAATGGCATGCTTGTGTTTTGTTTGCATTGAAGTCTACCAAGTTATTGGATCCCCATTCGAGAATTGTTGCCAAGTCCATAATTATGTTGTCAACATTTCTCCCTCGTTCGTTTCTGATTTGCCTGGCTGGTATTGGAGCCCTGGTAGAGAAGGCGCGGATCTGTGTACTGGACATGAAGTTGCTTCCAACAAATTGTTGATAGGTATGTAGTAGAGATAGTGTTGGTGCTAGATTTGATCCTTGCGGAACACCAGCGTTTATGATAAGAGAGTCAGATGAAACTCCGTCGACCACTACATGGAGAGACCTGTTTGAGACAAAAATAACTAGCAAAGAACATAGCTGGGGAGGCAAGCCATAAGATGGAAGCTTGGCGAGGAGTCCGTGTTGCCAGACTCGATCGAATGCCTTGGAGATATCAAGTGCCACGGCTAAGGTTTCACCATATTTTTCAATAGATTGCTGCCATATATGTGAGACGTGAGCGAGCAGGTCACCAGTTGATCTCTGATGACGGAAGCCATATTGCCTATCGTTGATAATACCTGAATGTTCCAGGTATTTCATGAGCTCGGTGTTGATAGCTTTCTCCATGATCTCAGATTCATACAAAATACGGAAAAAAAATCATCTGTCATCTACGGTGGTGTCGACGGAATGGGAGTTGGCGGTGGCGGCGCTACTAATAATACACAGTGTTGCCAACAGCTAATTTCAAAAACGGCTATATTATGGCTTAAAATGAAAGCGCGCCGCAGACGAAAAATTGTTCAGCCATTTTTTGACCAATCTAGCCATTTTTCGCAATTTTTCTAACAAAAACAAGAAATCTGACTATGGACTACGATTCTGACATTAAAATTTCAAGTCTAGAGCTTAGATTTAGAGAATGATGGAAGTATATATACTGACTCTTGTAGTAGTGACGGTGACGTATGAGCTGATGTGTTGACGTCATTGACGGCACCGTCAATGTTTCTTCGATTCATGCGCATAACAAAATTTAGGAATGAACAACGACACAAAAGTATGGAGTACGAAATCCATGGATATACAGACTGGTCCAAATTTGAATTAGATTAGATCGTGAATATAATGACTATCTATGGAAATATTATTGAGAATAAAAATATTTTCATAGGAATTCAGAATTGAAAAAAGCTTAGAAAAATGGCTAAATGGCTAGATAAAATCTTTAGTAGCTAGATGAGTTCAAAAATAGCTAGAACTAGCCATAAAATGGCTGAGTTGGCAGCACTAATACACTCACTGGCAAAAATAACTACCCAGAAAAAATTCAGTCAAATTGATCGACCTGTAAATTTTCTAGAGTAGGGACATGCCGAAGATACATGGATGTGCGCGGTGCGCGGTAGCTCCCTTAATATTCATTTTGGGATATTACCTCATTCATTAAACTATACTTATTTTTCAATGTTCAATCACCTCCAGGATGCACAGTACACATTTCACAGTACCCATTTTTGACTCACCCTGTATAAATAAATGCATTCGCTAGCGGCAGCAAAGTTCGTTAATATTTAAAAATCTCAAGTGAGTTGTAATCAGCGAAGTCGACTTTATAATCATAGTTGGTAACTCGTTTGTCCCCTGATGCTATTAGACTGACTCTATTCGTGCTGGGGTAAATCAATTTCTAACTATACTCAGTAGGAATTTTCCTCAGTGCATGTGCAAGTTCTCAAGAAAAGCTGATGGACTGAACATTATACAGGTAAAAACAAAAGTTACTATGCCACCCTTAACTTCTCAACTTCTTAACGAACTATGGCAAAAGTGAGTTGTTAAACTTAGCTTCATTATGTTTTGGATTTGAGTGTTTTTGATTCACGTCAAAATATTTTTAGGAGAAGAAAGAAGATACGAATGTATTAGATATGGAATTTTTCAATTTGTATTAGCAAGAATTCAGAACCTATGGAGAATCTTTGGGTATCGTTGAGGATCTTCTGTGATTTTCATTAGGAAAAACTGCTGGTGTATGTAAAATGATCCGGAATCCAAAAATGAAAAAAATATATGGAAACCAAAAGTTTGGGTCACTCATCGCGATAAAAAAATGCATCGAGATTTTTTTTCACATTTTTTATTCAATTTAGTTTTCTCAAAATAAATTTCCAAAGAAATGCTTCCGTTAGAATACGACGGAAAATCGTCAGCAGTACTGACGTCACAAGTTCTATAACGCGTCGACCGTCTATTGGTAGAAAAAATCGATACTTCACTATTCAGTGAGATGAACAGTGTTGCCGTTTCATCCGATCCTTCACTTCTTTAGATATTTTAACATTTACCGCTCTCAAGATTTAACTGATTTCAACAATATCATGGATGAACTGAGCAAGACTTTTTAAAATTCATTTGTTCTTGTTCTCCTATGCACTGGATAGTGGCATGTTATGACATAGATACCACACCCAGACAGCACCAGATATTCCATGAATCTCCCTATCATATTCCTTTCGGAATATTGGAATATTCTAGAAATAATCTGGAATATTCCGGAATATCTGTGGAATATTCTCTAAATATGCGAATGGGAATTCCTCAGATAATCATAGAATATACCCAAAAGAATATTCTATGTTGAATGTTCCTGGAATATTCCAATAAACATATATTCTAAAATAAAAAAAAGTGACCCAAGTAGGGATCGAACTCGTGACCTCAAGACTATCAGAGCAACGCCTTGACCACTAGGCCAGTAATCGAATTGAATAATGTTATACATATCAAGTTCTTGTGAGAGCATTGTTCGAAATCGGATCATAAACACTTTTTGTTACAAAATCCCCTTACATCTAATTGATGTTCGATACTCACATCTCTGAAATAATAAATGGTATTTATGTGTTGAGAAACATAGGAATATTCATGGAATATTTCATGAATATACACCACAGAATATTCAGTTGAGAATATTTCATGAATATACCGCACAGAATATTCAGTTGGGTATATTTCATGAATATACCGCCCAGAATATTCAGTTGGGTATATTTCATGAATATACAACAGAGAATATTCAGTTGGGAATATTCCTGGAAGATTCATACCTGAATATTCCCTGAACATGTCCGACTATTCACTTTGGAATATTCCTTTTAGATGTTCCAGAGGCATGTATATATTCTAGGAATAATCGATGAATATTCGGAATATACTCCTCCTTTTTAGCATATTTAGAGAATATTCTATGAATATCCAGCGCTGTCTGGGCATTGCTCATTTATTCACAAAAAAACTTATTTCATCGATAAGGGGATAGAATTATGCCTTAATAAAATATTGCTGTTGAAAAAGATTATTTTTGGTTTTTGCTAATAATTTCACTGTATATTTATCAATTGTAATCAAAATCGGTACAGAGAATCGACTGGTAACTTTTTTTGACGATACTTTTCAGTGATTTTGATTAGAAAACTTGACATAAGTAAACATAATCTCTACATAATATTGGTACTTTTGTTAATCACGATATTCTCATCCGTTTTCGAGGAAACCGCAATTCAACACTTCATTCAAAGTCTTGGAAGGGGATTTCAAATATTATTCAATTTGTGAAGAGTGTGCTTTGGACTGTCAGATAATTGGCTGGTAAATGACATTTCCTGTCAGGAGATCAATTCTGGTGCGAGCTAATAGTCAATAATTTTTTGCTTGAAACGCCCTGTATCTTCTTCCACAGCAACATTTTATTGAGGCCCCCCTCCTGATTGCCTACAAACAATTTATTCTACTTAGGTATTGCACCAGTCCTCGAAATTGAAAAAAATACATAAATAAATATAAAGCACATGACCAATTTCCCTAAATTATAAAGTTTTAAGCCATCACCAGTTTGACATTATCAACAAAATAACGCATATCAAATTATTTACAATATAGAATGATGAGTTTTTTATTTGCTGTTATGACTGATAGTTGTTGGTTCGGATAAGATCACAAAATTTGAGTGAATAAGGGAACCTCTGAATTATTTCGCTAAATTGACAAAATGGGTCAGTATAGCTGCTGGAAAAAAATCATTATCGCACCACTCAATTTCTCAATTTCTTGACCCCCCCTCCTTGGTTCACACTGAAATGGAATTATTATCACTCTGGAAGAAATCTTACTTTCAATCTGAAGGCATTTGACATTGAACCCAAAAAAATTGTGCGAGAATTTTTGTGAGTTTCTTGACCTCCCTGGTATTCACTTAAATGACGCCTCTGTGGGGCTCCTGAAAAATTTCGAAATGAATCTGATAGGTGGTCTCTGGATTGATTCC